GTACTGTAGTGCTGCAAATTGGGGTTTCAAAGTTCACAGCTGATTCAGTAACTGGATAAGTAAAGGACCCAAAGGAAAAGCATGACAGTCAGATAACTAGCTTTTCCATCAGAAGGTTGGGAATGTCATTGCATACAATAATCTCTGAAAAATCCCCTATATTTATTTGGGGGTATAACATTGTGCATTCTACGAATTCCATCGTTATTGTACAACATAAACCCTGAAATTGAGAACAAGAGCAAGCACTGTCTTCCTCTCACTTCCTGGCACCAGAGTGGCAGCGGGTCTTGTGACTATCTGAGGCTCTATAGCAGCAGAGAGCCTCAAGTATGCAGCCTTCTTGATAGTTGTCCAATGGCTGTCAATAACATGTCAGCAGTGCCCATATAGTTTCTGCACAGGGAATCATCTCTTCCTGCTAGTGCTGAATGTTCACTGACATTGAAGGGATGGTGTAGAAGGCAGTGGGGGTATAAAAGCACTATGTAGGGAAAGAGGGAGAAGAGAGTTGTTTAGGTATAAACGTGACGTACACAGTCCTGCTTGCATCCAATACACTGACTCTGCACCTGGCACCACTGCACTGGCACACATGACCCCCACGTTACAGCCTTTTCAACTAACTGCTTCCCGACCACCATATAGCAGAACTACTGCTACAGGGCATCAGGACTGTGCAAAATCACCTATATATAGGTGATTTTGCATGTTCACCAACCCGCACCGTCATTGGCGGCTACAGCTGTCGATCACTGGGTCCCGGACAGAGATTCCCCGCCGGCACCCGGCGATCGCTGAGGAACACTGAGAGAGGAGAGGTCTGTATGTAAACAATAGAAAACACAAGGGGACGCATCTAAGTGCAGTATTGAGAAGTAATTTAATAATCCATACATAAAACACTCACGTGTAAAGAAGATAAAAAGCCTGGAATTAGATGGGGACCATAGCCACTCTATTAGCAACTGTTTAGATAGTATGGTGGGGTTGGCATCCAGAGTCCAATGGAGCCCAAACCAAGGTGGATATCAGTGTTGCACGGTGACACAAGCTTCCAGGGATGTAGAAGACTGGGAAGTGATGTCACGGAAAACCACCATGGAATGCAGGTCATTTTTACACTAACTGAAACTTTGTGGGAACCAGTGACACTAATACAGTGACCAGTGCTAAAAATATACACTAATCACTGTACTAATGACACTGGTTGGTAAGGGGTTAACATCTAGTGTGATCAAAGGGTTAAGTGTGTGCCTAGCTATGCGTTTGGTGTACACTAGGTGGTGCTATAACTATGGGAAGTGATGGATCGTGTTCTCAGCTCTGCAGAGGCACATGATTCATAACTTCCCCAGTTACAACAGAACTGTATCTATGTAAACATAGATACAGCTCTATTATTCCTCCCTGACTGACGATCTGCAGGTGCCAGCGAGCAACTATCGATCAGTTGAGGTCTCTGTATTTCATTTTGAGAATCTGGTAACCTTACCTTGGTGAGATATCTGCCTGTGTTCCTATATTTGCTGGGGCAATAGAAGGGATCTCTACTCTCCCTGATTACTGCCGTATTTATTTTATATTATGGGGAATGGAACACGCAGAGGTGGGTAAAAACATTGAAAAGTCTGATAGAGGTGTGAGAATCACTAGACAAATGAGGCAGAATTGCAAATCCTTTGGCAGATAAAGCACTTCACATAGACAGTATATTTTTTCTTACTTTTTCTAACCAGCCCAGTATGACAACCATCAAGACAGGATTCATTATACTGTGGGCCCAGGGCTATTTTCAGTTCATTTGCCTATTTAAGCCCACCAGCTTAAATACTATCTAAACTCAAAAACAAAAATGTTCTACAACACAACTTACCTGTCCTTAGATTTGGTGGCTTCATCTGTTTTCTTTTTTTAGTTTTCTTTTTTTCTTTCCTGCAAGTAACACTTCCTAGCCTGGGGTGACAACACTTACTCACTGTACTATGGTATCTATGGAGAAGCAGCATTGCAACCCCTAAGACTGACTTGAGCTACAAAACATCTCCGCCTCTTCTCCATTACTTTAGGAGGAGGAGTTGTGTAAATTCACAAGGATAGTTTGGGAAGCTAACAACCATGTTGGAGTTCATTGCACGGGAAGCTATGGTGATAATGGATTTCTATCGGGATCAACAGGTATTTTTCTGTACTTGCTGGAAATGTATTTAGTTTGAAAATAAAAAAAACTTATACAGCCACCACATCTAAGGACTGATAAGCTGCAATATATTACATTTTTGTTCTCGGATTTAGATATAAACTACCCAAGACAAGTCCCAACCCTGCCATTCAACAGTTTATGGCCTAATGCATACTGGGCTTAAAAAAATTTCACCCTTATTCTCAAGTTCTAAAGTTAGGAGGTATGCTACTTGAGACTGAGACAGCTAGATAAGATTTCATCAGGTCAAAGATACCTCCCGGAACTCCAGCCTGTCTGGCAGTTACCAGATTTACTATATAGTAAATAGTGGGCTTGACATGTGATCTGATATCATCCTGATCAAACATTCTGAGAGACTGAATTCTATCTCTCAGAGACAGTTAGCCCTCAGAAAATACCAAATAAAACTGTATTAAGGTATATGTCTCTTCAAGATGATAAAAGTACAGCCGTTTGCGCTCCAGGAACTGTCATGATATGTCTTCTGAAGACAAATCTTGATGAAGTGTTATGGAGTGGTTTATTATCACAAATCAGATATTTCTGCCACTTGTCAGAGCACTTCTAGATAAACTCCTTGAATGTTTAGGATGACCAGGCAAGCCATCTGAAAAATGACACTTAGAAAATGTTTCTATTACACAATGTCGCTACCATTAGAAGGACTATGCAACGTGTGCAGTTTAAATGTGTTCTTGTTTAATTGGACACCCCCATCAAGCACGAATATCTTGCCTGTAAAATGATGCAGGATATGGACTATTTTCTTACTGGCTCTAACTTTTATCCTGGATTTATCTTCTCTTGACCGTACTGCTAGCAAAATCCCAACAGTTAAGACTGGCCTCATCTTTTTTAATGGTGAGCATATTTTAGCATGTGGAAATACGATCACATGTGTTTTCAGTCTTCTAAGCCAGCCTTTCTCAACCAGGATGCCCTCAGGCTTCTTCAGGGGTGCCTTGGCCAAATGCCCAAAAATTGGCTACAACCCAGCAGGTGGATCAATCCTGCCTTTTAGTACACAAAGCCATAGGTTTTCATTGTGCACTTTTATGACCTTAGAGCTGCCTGCACCGTAACAACCAATGACATCATCAGTTGATAAGGAGGACGTGGGGTGCATGCACATCAGGGCCGGATCTAGGGGAGTTCTGGGGTGGGCTGTGGCCACCCAGATTTTAGCTGTGCCCCCCCAGGACACCTGATGTAAGGGGGTACTCCGTTGGGGACACCTGATGTAAGGGGGTACTCCGTTGGGGACACCTGATATAAGCTTGGATAGGGACCCTGATGTAAGGGGGCACACTGATGGGGATTCTGATGTAAGGGGGCACTCTGATGGGGACCCTGGTGTAAGGGGGCACTATGATAGGGATGCTGATGTAAGGGGGCACTCTGATGGGGATCCTGATGTAAGAGGGCACTCTGATGGGAACCCTGATGTAAGGGGGCACAGTGATGGAGATGCTAATATAAATGGGCACTCTGATGGGGATCCTGATGTAAGAGGGCACTCTGTAGAGGACAAATGATGTAAGGGGGAACTCTGATGGAGGCACTCTGATGGGGACACTTGATACAAGGAGGCAAGGTGTTGGGAACACAATGTAAAGGGGGACTCTGATGAGGACTCCTGATTTAAAGAGGGACTCTGACAGGGACATCTGATACAAGGAGGACAGGTTCTTTGTCAACCTAATGCACACTAGTGTTCCCCAGGTCAGGACACTGTGTGACAAACTCTCAGTGATTCACACACAGTGTTGGCATTATGCCCCCTGACTTTTTTTTAGTGCACTCCCAGACCAGATGGGCTAGATCTGGCCCTGATGCACAACATCTTTGTTTGCCCCTCTCCGTCAGCACTGGAGTCACATTAGCAGAGTGAGGGAAAGAAACAGAGAGACACACTGGAATACTAGTCAGTTCCAGTGTGCTAAGGTGTATTTGCTTTGGAAGAATAAATCTCCTCTAACATTGGGTGTGCTGGATGTGTGTAGAATAGTTTTTTTTACATTTTAGATTGGGGTGCCTTGAGGTTGTGCAGAATTTTAAAGGGTGCCTTGAGATGATCCATAATTTTAAAGGGTGCCTTCACTGAAAAAAGTTGGGAAACACTGTTCTATGCAGTGCCTTTTTGCACTTCTCAGGCAAGGAGAAAAACAGGTTGCAGACTAAGCATTATAGCGGAGTGCCCCTTTCCCTGCTGTCCCATCCCATCTGCTGTACCCCATCACTGGTGTCACTGGGATAAATTATTCCACATTGTTGGTGTCAGTGGAAGGGAGAGTGCCCCACCAGTGAATAGCGGGAGCAGGATGAATTATGCCCCACATTTGGAGTCAGTTGAAGGTATGATATCACAGTTATGAAGCTATGGTATCATAGTTAGTGTCAGAAGGAGGAATAGTGCCATGTACCAGTGGGAGGAACTGTGCCCTCAAGGCCGGATAAAACCAAGCAAAGGGCCGCATATGGCCCTTGGGCCAAGTTTTGAGACAGCTGTCCTAGGGTCCCACCATCCCATATGCTTTATGGAGCAAGCCTGATGCAGTAACTACCCAAAAATTGAATAATGTGTTGTACATACATGCGAGATAGGTGTTTTTTTTCTGGAATTACATCCACCATACCAAGACATTAATGTCTAAAAGGACATCATACAATAATAGGTTCTCTATACTAGTAATAGAGTTAATACATGCATGTGTATGTTATTATAAATACTGGTAAACTCAGTACAGAGAACAGATTTGTGCTGTATAATATTTGATAGTTGTCTGACACCTACCGACAATGATCTGATGACATAGATGGCAGGGGCACTGCTTCTTGAAGACATGGTCCTGGAAGCTGTGCGTACGGACCGGTTGTAGCAAGGATAAAGGCTTGTGATTTGGATGTGGGGACTGGTCAGGCTGAGGTGGAGGTTCATTAGGGACAGGAGGAGGTGAAGGAGGTGGAGGAGGAACTGGAGGTCCTAGGAGGACATCAGAAGATATCTTTGCTTCATTATTTGGTTTCTGGAAAAAGTTCTCAACGCTCTTGCTCCGAAGGATGGTCTTTAATGAGATGGAGCGTCGAAAGCGCTGTAGCTGAAAAAAAAAAAGAGAGAATTTGATGATACTTGAGGATACTTAATAGAAGAATATGTATAGTGACAGGAAAAAACAGAGAAGTGAAATATTCCAATTAAGAGAGACAGACAAACTGATCAGCGAAAGATGAATTCCTCCTATCTCCATGGAACATTGTGAAATAATTTGACATTGGCTCTCTGCCTCCAAGGAGGGTCAAGGGGCATTCAGGATAAGCAATGGGAAGTGACAGACCCTGCAGAATGGTAACAGGGCATGGAGTTGGTAAAGGAAGGAAAATCAATGCCCAGGGCATAGCACTGACAGAACAAAATCACCCATGTCAGACGGCAAAGGAAACAGAAAAGAAGGGAAGCAAAGAGGGGGAAAAGAGAGCTGAAAATAGAACAATGAAAAAGCAGGCAACAATGGAAGGCATCTCCTTTAAAGCCTAGTACACACGATCAGAAAATCGTATAAAAAGTACTACTTTCGAAGCAATCGTGCGATAATCTGATCGGTAGTACACAGCTTTCGTCCAAATTTACTTGAAGGGACAAGCATGAAAATGTTCTTGTTGGATACCAGATCGTACAAAATACAATACAAATGCATTACATCACTTCCCAATTTTCTTTCTGTCATACAAGGATTTTTGTAACTTCTTCATTTTTGATATGGGACTAGCATGCAAAAACAAAAACGGACGATCATTTGTCCAATATTCTCATTGTGTGTACGGGGCTTAAGACTATATTCTGTACATGATAGAGAGAAACACAAAAAAAGAGGCAGCAGGAGCCGGAAAACACAAGATTCAGCTGCTAGTCCAACTAGGGTGCCAGCAATCATGTCCAATATAATCAATTCAGAGTGATCCGATAACATGAAAGACATTAAAGTGATTGTAAAGCCCCACCTTGTAAAACAACTCATTCAATTTAAAATAGAAATGAAAGGCAAAACATTTGCGTACAGATATAAAAAACATTATAAATACCCTTTTTCTCTTTTTTTAGAAGTGATTACATACCCTCGGTTCTCAGCTACATAACAGCTAAGGGAGGAGAAACGGCAGCACACGGATCTTCCCAGTGAATGGCTGAGCGGAAAGGTGAGGGGGCATGTCAGCAGAAGTCTGATCATTGGAAGAGAGCAAACTGAGTTCCCAGCACAGCTACAGAACTGACCACGCTGTGCTCTCCTGCCTAGTGTGGTCAGTTTTGTTTAATAGAAAAGCAGTGGAACTGCCAGGAACACCAGGTATTTCACACAAAGGAAGTAATACAAAGAGAACAGGATACTTTTTCATAGAAGTACAGCAGGCACATATCAGAAGTAGGAAATGTTGGGTTTACACATTTAATTCTTTAAATCTAGTTATGAGTACCAAATGCAGTGACAAGGACTATATTCTTTTAATTTATCGTCACTTCTGAATTTGCTTTGGCTTTATCATGCCTGTGTGCTTGTAATTCGGTTAAGTACCAATTTGCAATGGCATATCCTGGCATCCCAGACACATTTTTTTTCAGTTGCTTAAAAAAGAAAATATAAAAAATATAAATGTAATAAATAAATAAATAAATAAATGTTATGTATTTTGTATTGTTTTTAACAAATATTTATGTGTAAATAAAGAATGTGATGGTGATACTTTCCCATTATATTTTTATAATCAGTGTTTTGTGTGTTACTCTTAAAAGTCCAAAGTATTTTTTCTTTCTTTTTCCCATATAAGTAAATAAATAGATGTGAAGCCTAGCACGTATATGAATAAAAAGCAGCTCTGACTGAAAGCAGTAGCTTTTTTGCCACTATACGCAGCCAGTCCTCTGGACTGAATGACTCCCAGCATCATTCAGCCCACTTCCCGTGAGCCTAGGCAGTCAAGGACAAGCCTCCTGGGAGGACATCATCATCTCGGCTTACAGTAGCCCTCCACATTGCGGCACTCACATGTCATTACATAAGCACTGTCCTGCCTAGGAGTAAGGACTGCCAACTAAATAAATATATAACCTCCTCCACCCCCAAAACCCCTCAAAAAGTCATACCTTCTCCCTAGAAAGTGCAATAATCATATACTACAACCTTTTTGTGATAAAATAAAAATAAAATAAAATAATAAAACTCTAATTAAACCTTACAGTGTCATATGTAATCAAAAAAAAAAAACATAAATTGTCCAAAAAGGAAAAAAAAGTCCAATGAAAAATCCAGTGTCCAAACAAAGAAAGTCCCAGATTTCCAAACTTTATCCTCCAATCGGAAGGAATCCTATTTCATCCCGTGATACCTCAAAAAAATATATATATAGATACTCTAGTGCATTACCTTTATATAAAAATATGTTCACTCTGTGCAAAACACAACCTAAAAAAATGTGCAAAAAACTCTTTGTTGAATTGTTATATATAGTGCACATATAAAATAAACTGTGACCACTCCGTGAACACTGCAACACTGTGCATCCACCAACACCAATAGTATTACATACTATTACCCTCTGTATATATATAATCAGCATTCAATCAGAGATCTTCTATTTCCTCTCCAAAGATTTTTTCCAAGGTCCTCAAAAGACAAGAAGGGTTTCAAGACTCATCTCCAAAGTATAGGGAAAGATTTTAATAGCCACTTACATTAAAATTCCACATTTCCAGCTCCAAACATGGCTCCTATGCGAGTTCTACCAAACAAATGCAGTAAGCCATGTGTGAACAACCAAAAAAATGGCCGCGGCGACACTTCCGGTCTGCGTACGTGCGTCCTGACGTCACACCCTTAACGCGTTTCGTCACTTCCGGACTTCGTCTGAATTCAACAAAGAGTTTTTTGCACATTTTTTTTAGGTTGTGTTTTGCACAGAGTGAACATATTTTTATATAAAGGTAATGCACTAGAGTATCTATATATATATTTTTTTGAGGTATCACGGGATGAAATAGGATTCCTTCCGATTGGAGGATAAAGTTTGGAAATCTGGGACTTTCTTTGTTTGGACACTGGATTTTTCATTGGACTTTTTTTTCCTTTTTGGACAATTTATGGTTTTTTTTTTTGATTACATATGACACTGTAAGGTTTAATTAGAGTTTTAATATTTTATTTTATTTTTATTTTATCACAAAAAGGTTGTAGTATATAAAAGGACTGCCAACTGTTAGTGAAGAAGAAGATGAAGGACTTGTGATGTCATCAGACTGGCCAAAAGACTGCCAGAAAGTTAAAAAATAATAGATTTTTTTTACGCTGAACTCTAGTATATAATCATAATTGCATAGCATGGTCTAGCTTGGTACAGTGTAAGAATGCATATCTGATACCTGCTGGGGCCGTCAATCTACTATAGGCCGGGTGGTATCTGGTTAAATACTGAATGCCTGGACCACTACTTAATTATTGCATGCATTTAATTATTTATTTCCTTCTCGGAATTGACTTTAACCCCTTCTTATGAGGTATTTACCTAGCATTTTGCAGTAAATAACACAAAATGGCATAGTGAATTGACAATTTTAGGTTAGCATGCAATATTTAGGGAGAAATTGACGCCCTCCAGGTAAACATCATATGATGTCCTCCCGGTCATGCCGCTCATGTGCACAGCCTGGTGATCGGTGGTAAACTGTGTCCCTCACTGATCAGGGTAAAGAGCCAATGACTTTGGCTCTTTACCATGTGATTAGCTGTGTCAAATCACATGTAAATTAATGCCGGTTATCGGCATTTCCTTTCCTCAGCGATGTCACTGTCTGAGGAAAGGAAAGCCGACAACTGGCTTTCCTGTGACAGAGGACATTTACACTGGTATTCAGGGCGCTGATCATCAGTGCCCTGATGATCAGTGCAGCCCCATCAGTGCCAGTGTCCATCAGTGCCCATCAATGTAGCATATCAGTGCCCATCAGTGCAGCAGATCAGTGCCCATCAGTACAGGATATCAGTGCCGCCTATCAGTGCCCATCAATGCTGCCTTATCAGTGAAGCCTCATCAGTGCCTCTTCATCAGTGCAGCTTATCAATGCCCACCAGTGCCGCCTCATCAGTGCCCATCAATGCCCATCAGTGCAGTCCCATCAGTGCCCATCAATGTAGCATATCAGTGCCCATCAGTACAGGATATCAGTTCCACCTATCAGTGGCCATTAGTGCTGCCTTATCAGAGAAGCCTAATCAGTGCCTCTTCATCTGTGCAGCTTATCAATGCCCATCAGTGCCGCCTCATCAGTGGCCATCAATGCCCATCAGTGCAGCCCCATCAGTGCCAGTGTCCATCAGTGCCCATCAATGTAGCATATCAGTGCCCATCAGTACAGGATATCAGTGCCACCTATCAGTGCCTATCAGTGCTGCCTTATCAGTGAAGCCTCATCAGTGCCTCTTCATCAGTGCAGCTTATCAATGCCCATCACTGCCGCCTCATCAGTGGCCATCAATGCCCATCGATACCACCTCATCAGTGCAGCCTCATCAGTGCCCATCAGTGCAGCTTCATCAGTGCCCATCAGTGCAGCTTTGTCAGTGCCCGTCAATGCAGCCTTATCAGTGCACATCAGTGAAGAAGAAAATGTACTTATTTGCTAATTTTTATAACAGAAACTAAGAAAAGGGTTTTTTTTTTATTTCAAAATGTTTTGTTGTTTGTTCAGCAAAATTAAAAAGCCCCAGTGGTGATTAAATACCACCAAAATAAAGCTCTATTTGTCTCAAAAAAATGATAAAAATGTCATATGGGTACAGTGTTGCATGACCGCGCAATTGTCATTCGAAGTGCGACAGCGCTGAAAGCTGAAAATTGGCCCTGACTGGAAGGGAGTGAAAGTGCTTAATAGGCAAGTAGCACTGTTGAACAAATTTTTATTTTTTGCCAGTTTTGGAAACAAAAGGATCCATTTCTTAATGAATTTCACATTCTGAGTTCAAATATACAATGAAATTTGTCAATTGGCTCTAGTTTTTCTGTAAACGGAAAGTTTTCTACTATAGGTGTAATGAAAATATAAAGCAAGTGA